GAACGGACTACGTTACCCGTAACCGGAACGTAACTAACGAAACGAAACGACGACGTAAAGTACGTTACTACGGTTACGTACGGTCGTCGTGTAGTACAACTACTCTCTCTCTCTCTCTCTCTCTCTCTCTCTCATTTTTTTTCGATGCTTTAGATATTCGAATACAGTTCTAACTTGAAACACCTGTACATTTATCAATGGGAGTTTAGTTTGGTCACAGTTTGACTTGGATGAAGTGGTTTCATGTTTGCAGGTTTTCATTGCCATTGCTTTGGTCCTAGGAGATGGGCTGTACAATTTCGTGAAGACACTGGCTTTTACCATTAGAAACCTCCAAATTCAAATGAAACGCAGGAATATCAATACAGGTATAAAAGGAAAGAATGAACCACATGTTCCGATTTGTTGCCTTTGTTGTTGTTTGTCATACAAAGTCTGTCAGGATTATTTTCACTCGCGAAATTTTGTTATTCCCCTTGGACTAAAATTATGTTCACTACACTAGATTTCCACCGAAAGTAGATGATGCTGGATTTCTGTTTCTTGATTGTTTTATTGGAAAGGCAGCAGTTTCTTAAGATCATATTCCAGAATTTAGACTTTGCACTTTTCCTTTTTGAAAAAATGGTTACATTTTTAAGACCTGAATTAAAGTCTGAATTTTGTATGAAATCCATGTTTTGGTTATGGTGCCCGTGGCCACTGGGTCTCCGAATTTCAGACAATAGAATTTTGGGTTTTGTTATGCGGGATTTCTGTTCATGCACCTTGTAACCTTTGTTTACACGCATGCCTTCCATCGAGAGAAAAATCTGCTCCTTACGAAGTTCTTAGCAAGTTAAATTCATTGAGCATTATTCCAATTTTCTTTGTTGTTGCCAAGTAAAATCTCATAAACAAAATCACGTGATATTTTTTAAAATTAATTGGAAAACAGAAGAAACTAAAGAAATAAAAAATAAAGAAGCAATTTTTTCTCTTTACTTCTTAAATCTAAGTTTCAATGAACACATAATTTCCAAAAATGTATATAGTTAATTTTTATAAATTTATATAGCTGTCTTAATCTTATCTGCTCATTTAATCATAAATTTATTTATTCAAATATTTTGTGAAAGAACAAAAGAAGGTACTGTTGATAAAACCTTGTGTTTGAGATATCTGTAGATTGATTTTGTTACTTTCTATGTGGGGAGTACCTTGCTCACCTACTCTAGATTTTTGGACACTCGATACCCTTTTTATGTAATTTAAAATATATCAGATACACCAGATTTATCAAAACTCAGATATATTTGCTGCTATTTTGTTTCGAACAAGCCAACGCAACGAACTGTGATATCAACTAAATCAAATGATTAGGGGGGAAAAATTGAACAAGAGAAAAGAAAAAGCATTCGAGCACTTCCCTAGATGCGAATTCTAAACCAAGCGATCGTTGTGTTGTCGAGCAGGGGTCATGCAGGTTGAGGATGGCTCTCTCGAGTGCTCCAGCGACGAGCTTTGGCGTGACAAGGTGTTCATGAAAGACCGTGTACCCACATGGATAGCCTTCGCAGGCTACACACTCTTCGCCATAATCTCTATAATCAGCATCCCTAACATATTCCCTGAGGTGAAGTGGTATTACATTTTCACCGCCTACTTATTCGCGCCCGCCCTTGCCTTCTGCAATGCTTATGGCACTGGCCTCACAAACATGAACACCGCTTACAACTATGGGAAGGTGGCTTTGTTCATTTTAGCTGCATGGGCCGGCAAGTCCCACGGTGGGGTGGTGGCCGGGCTTGTAGGGTGTGGGCTTGTCAAATCCATAGTCACTATTTCAGCTGAACTCATGCAAGACTTCAAGTCTGCCCACCTGACCATGACCTCTCCGAGGGCCATGATCTTGAGCCAGGCTGTAGGGACTGCAATAGGTTGTGTTGTCGCCCCTATGACCTTTTTGCTCTTTTACCATGCCTTCGATATTGGGAACCCAAAAGGAGAGTTTAAGGCCCCATTTGCGCTTATATATCGAAACATGGCCATATTGAGCGTCGAGGGCCTCTCTGCTCTGCCCCAGCATTGTCTGCAGATTTGTGCAGGGGCTTTTGTTTTCGCTGCCATGGTGAATTTGGTTAAGGATCTGGTTCCTGAGAGGTTCGGGAGGTGGGTCCCACTCCCCATGGCCATGGCGGCTCCCTTCTTGGTGGGGGGCTACTTCACGATTGACATGTGCATCGGGACAGCAGTTGTATATATTTGGCATAAGATTAACAGGGAGAGGGCGGAGGCGCTGGTACCCGCTGTCGCCTCTGGCCTCATGTGTGGGGATGGCCTTTGGATCTTGCCCTCGTCCATCCTGGCCTTGGCCAAGGTTGAGGCCCCAATGTGCATGAGCTTCTTTGCCAATTAGTTAAAGAGTAGAGGCCGACTCATGTGGAACCCATTTACCATCCATGATTCACAGCACCAAGTTAAATGATACAGCTACTTGAAATAGAGTATAACAACCTGAATGATACAGCTAAGAGAAAGTATGTATAGACATACAGATACATGTATTTACATATGTATAAATAAATGGGTTAACGGGTTGGTTAGTAACATTGATATATTTGTCTCCATTAATAGGAGATGAGACTTTGGGCATGCATGGTAGAAGAGGGGCTTGTCTAAGTGCAGGGTCAAAGTAGGAATTTGATGTTGGACCATGAATAATAATTGGTATTGCTGTCTTAATCCATGTAGCAAATGTGAAGTTCATGTAGTTTGATTTTTGGGGATTATTGTTCAGTAACATAACAAACATGTTGTGTCAAACATCTTGAATGTTTAACGCATTTTTAAAGTGATGCCCATACGGATTTTCTCTTACCATCATTCACATGCTCCAAATTCCCACATGTTGACTAACAGCTTATTGAAATCGGACGTGCCGGTGTTCCGATCTCGATAAGCTGACGGCCGATTAAATAAGAAATGACAAAAAAAGATAAAAAAATTTCTTCTTGGCCTTGAATTCCTCTTTTTTTTATTCCCTACTATGCAAGATTTTGAATCTGGTAAAGAACCACCCCTTTTCAGTCAAACTTATAGATAAACCTTGTTGAACATATGGCCTCTCGGGCGAAGCTGTCGGAGTCCTAATTTCATGGGGGACTCATAACATATCCAAGCGATTCTTATAAAATTCAAATTTATTTTACAGAAATTATTTTTACAAAATTATAAATTAATAAAATATTTTATTCTATATGATAAAAAACTTATTGTTTTTTCAAATTAAGATATTAGTAATAACTAATAAGAAAAGAACATAAAACTAACATTTTTTTTGTTCATTTAGTAATTGATGAAAAAGGCAACATGTCTGACCCTGACGTCAAACTCAAAGGCGCATTGTTTAGAAGAAAGGGAAGAGGAAATTGATAAGATCTCGGTCCGAGTCACGAAAACTCGGCCTGAAGGGCGAGCCTGAGTTTCCCTAACTTGGGTATCCCGTTCGGGGATATTAAAAAAATAAAAAAATATTATAAAATTTTTTAAAAATAAAAATTTATCGATAATATGTTGTTTTATATTTTCTATCATTTTGGCAAATATTAAAAATTGTTTTAGCCATAAATATTTTTTTTTATATTTTTCCATATTTTTAAATTATTTCAAGAATCTTTTTTTTACAACATTTTTTACTTTTTATTTTTTTTTGTTTTACTTAATCTTACTTTAAACATACATTTCCTATTTTTGGGAGTTTTTATATTTTTATAATTTTTTTAGCCTTTTTTTTTTTTACTACCGTACTTGTCAAGTTACTCGGACTCGGGCACGGACCGAATACTCGCCCCAAGCAGTTGTTTCAAACACTGGTAATACAAATTGTATGTATACTTTTTCTCCATGTAAAAAGCGCATTTTAAGAATATTTTTTATTTAAATTTCAGGATTCATTTTAGAATTTGTGGATGGCTTAAAAAATAGAAATAATATTTCAATTTGAAATATTTAATTATCCAAGAATTAGAGTATAAACCTCGGGAGCAAAGACATTTGGTTAATAATAGAGATTTTTGTTGGGTGAATCGTTAATAATAGAAATTAGATAAAATTACATAAATATCCGTTATACTTTACGCTATTACGGATGTATTAATTAGTTTTTTGTTATTTCCGTTTTTTACTTTTTATAACGTAATTTTTTTAAAAATACGACTTTACCTTTTTTCGGATGTTGAACAACCGAATTTGAGGGTTTTTTGAATGTTCAAGTTATGTTGATATATTGTATTCCTTGTGAACATGGTTTCGGATGTTGGACGTCCAAAAATGTCATATTTTCAGATGTTCATCATCCGAAAATGACTGCAAAATTCCAGAGACTTTATGGAAATTCAAAGTCATATTTTCAAATATTGAACATTCGAAAATATGACACATTTTCGAATGTTCAACATTCGAAAAACTCTTCAATTCAGATATTCAACACTCGAAAATAGGCATGTGAACATTAAACTTTCGACCTATTTAAGGATGTTGAACATCCAAAAAACCCTCTAATTCGGTTATTCAACCTCCGAAAAAAGATAAAGTTGTCTTTTTTAAAAAATTACGTTATAAAAAATAAAAAATGAACATAAATATCATAACGAAAACTATTTTGTACATCCATAATAACGTAAAGTATAACGAATATGTATGTAATATTCCCTAAAAATTATGTTATGGAGTGGTTTCTACCAACGAATCACTAACCGCCCTCCAAAGTGATCAATGACATTGTCTCAACAAAATTTAGGGCAAAAAAGACACTCCAATTTTGGGTTTACCCAATGGAGTAAATTAATATCAGTGGCATAAACTTCAATTTATACCCAAACCGAACCGTTCGAAGCTATTAACAAATACCACATCTTGCACTAAACAGGTCATTTTTTTTTTTTTTGAAATTGAAGCAGCCATTTTTTATATAACAAAATTTAAGGTCTAAGAAAGACCAAGGCTGGGATTGCCGAGTGGAATAAGTTAAGGAAAAAGTTTATATAGAGCCGAAGCTCTAAACAATCAAATTAAAGCCCACCACCAGGTTGTTTTGATGCTCAAAAATGGATTTCAAGTTTTTGAAGTAGTACATCTTGTAACACGTTTTTTGACCGTCAATTTTTAAAATTTTCAAGTTTCTATAGATGTGCTCAATCTACACTATTTTTAAAATTTTAAATTTTATAATTAAAAAATATATATATTTTAAAGCTATCACAAACCACATTTCTCGATACTATTTGAAAGTAAGCTTTACTTTGATTGTTTAGCCTGGGCTCCATACAAACTACACCCATAAGTTAAACGGATTGTATGTTATAAAATCATTTTCTTTTAGTAAAAGTCATAATCGCCTGTATTCATTGAACGTGAATCGAACACTTAGAGACGTATCAAACAGTTCACAGTTCGAGAAATTTTAATTTGATAAATTGTATCCAAGCAATAACACATCTCCCCCATCGGATTTCACATCTGATTCGATACAATAACACATCTCCCCCATCGGATTTCACATCTGATTGATTGTGAACTTCTTGTGTCTTATTATATATTTTTTTAATCAATAAATGTATGTGTGAGAGCATAATATTTTAATAGCGGCGGCAATGGGACAAGTCAGGTTTCGGCCGGACGCAGACGAACCCAACCTATATATATATATAGAGGAAAAAGCTGAGGTTAGCCCTCTAGTTCATATGAACATATGAGCCCAGCAGTCCAGATTGAATTTGGACCGATCTGACGATCACGGATGTCCGGTAGTATTTAAATTTTTTTTTTTCTACAAATCCAAATCATTTGAAATTTTAGACGTGTGCTCATTAAAAATAGGTGAATCTTCGAAAAATATAAAAAAAATATTTTACATCAATAAATTGATCAGAATACCCTCAAAAAGTTTCTGAGGTATTTTGGTCATTTTGTATTACACAAATAATTTTTTTTACATTTTTATTAGATACGCCTTGATGAGAAGAACACAGCTAAAATTTCAAGTGATTTGGATTTGTAAAAAAAAAAAAATCAAGCACTACCGGACATCTATGATCGTCAAATCAGCCCAAATTGAAATCTGAACCGTTGGACTCAATATGTTCATCTAGTGGGCTAACCCAATTTTTTTCCATATATATATATATATATATATATATAGAAAACACTAC